GGACAATTGGCACAAAAGCATGTGACACTCAGGTCAGCATCCTACAGGACATCCAGCCTGGCTTCCCTGGGCTGTCAGCCCTGCCCAGTGCTCCCCCAGTGGGGCAATGCTCATGGGTGCTCGTGGCACACTCTGCCCATGCCTTGGAGGGGAGAGGGTGGCCCTCAGGAATGAGAAGCAAGGCCCTGGAAGATGTCCAGCTCTCTTTTAATTAACCTGAACAAGCCAGAGCTTAAGTTTCCGAGCCAAGCCGAAGTCTCCCTGTTAGGAAAAACCTGCAGTACCTGGCAGTAATTTAATAACTCTCATTTCGAGCTTTCTAATAGCGGTGCTGTGGAACGGCTCCAAACCCACTGGTCTCCCTGCCTTTCCGCAATCAAGTTACCTTTATTGCTTTATGGCAATATTAACAGAGATACCAGTGTGAATGCCTCACCTCGGGCTCAGCTGGCAGGAGCCTGGCACGGTTCAGAGGAAGCGCGGCGGGGCCGGGATGGTGGCTCTGCTCCAGCACCCACCCCAGCCAGGGAGCAGCCCCTGTGCTCCAGGGCCTTGTGCCAGGCACAGGACAGGGTGAACTGGCACCCCTGGGATGGGGTCTGGCTCAGGGCTCCCCTGGGATTGAGGATGTGCATGCTCAGAAATGGTACACAGCATCCCCCTGGGATTCTGCCCTTTTTGAGGAGGTGTTGCTGCAGGGGTACAGGATTAAGTCCTTTCCCAGCCACCAGAGGAGCTTCCAGGACCCATGGGGAACGTGTCACCAGCTCCAGACACCTCTGCTCCAGGAGACTTGTCCCTTTCAGCATGGCAGGAGCTAGGGGTCCTGCGTGGCAGGGACTGCCTGCCCCATGCAGAGCTGCAATTAGCTCAGTTGCACTAACCTAGAAGAGGGGCTCCATGGCTTGAGGTGCTCCAGAAATATTCCTCCCTCCCAGAGAGGGGAGAATGACTTTCATCTTTGAATCCACAAGCAGAAGAGGGACAGGAAGAGCACATAGGAGACAAATCCCTCCATAATTTAAAGCCCAAATCATTCTGTTCTACAAGAAACACCCCATCACGCAGCCAGGGCCATGTGAGATGTTTATAGGAGCCCCAGCCATCCATCACTCACAGGTGTCCCTCCATGGGACTTTCCCTGGCTCTGATCTCCCCCAGCTAAACCCTGTTACCCAGCAGCTGATGCTTTAGAGGTGATGCCCCAGTGCTCCTGGCTCTGCTGCAGGCTTGTGATACAACTGTGGTTCTTCAAGAGTAGGTTTGAAGAATGTGATTCCTCCTTGCTGGCTGGACATTGTAGGGAAAGCCTGTCTTGAGGCACAGCCCTGACCAGAGGTACCACACAGGGATGTGAGGGATGTGGTCACCTTGCCCTCCCTGGACTCCTCTGGCCAGCCTGGGTGGCAAGGGGCAGACTTGTCACTGCTGCCATGAGCACCAAATGGCAGTGAGGAAGGGCTGAAGAAGCACTTGGTGTGTGACATCATGGGGAGGACATGAACGCCCCAGCCTCGCAGTGGTGGTGGCAGCACCACAGCCCAGGGCAGGACAGGGTGGTTGTATAAAAGCCCCTGGCCGTGGCTGGCCACCAGCGTGGGAGCTGACAAAGCAGCACTGTTCCCGTTTATGGGATGGGAAACAGCTGCTGGAGGGGCACAGATAACCTGACATAGCAGGGACATGATGGGCTGCGGAGGGGACAGACTGACACAGAGCATGCCCAAACCTTACTGGTGCCACTGGTTTGGGCTGGGAGCTGGGCTGGGGCAGTCCACTCTGCAGGGACTGCTGTGCTTTCCTCGAGCATCTCCCACTTGGAGGGAAGGTTTCTTCCCAGGCTGGGAAGTGGAGCCGAGTGTCAGTTTGTGTGTGGAGCCACTGCTAATACCTTCTTTGCTATTTTTAGCTCAGCAGCCTTGTGCTGTTCGTTTCAGCATATTTTTTTTTCCTCCCAGTAAATTCCAAATCTTTTCCCTCTTTCACCTTCTATTCCGGGATGCTGCCTGTACCATTCGGCTTTGATCTGCACTGATGCCAAGTGTGTTTTGAAACTCTAAGTATAGCACATCCCTTGAATTTCTCTTATCTAGCAAAGCAGTAATATCCTCAAAGAGCTCCAGCAAGCTGGTTAAAAACCTGACATCGCACGGCTCAGTCCACACCAGCTACTCCTCAGCCTGGATCCCAGGCATCCTCCCCTCCAGAGTGCTCTGCAGGCTTGTGACCTGGGCTGTGCTTTGCTGCTGGTGTCTCGAAGTCACTGTCAATCTTATTTTACAGGTCAGAGACTGAAAAGGGCAGCTAGGAGCAAAGAGGGCCAATATTCTTTTTATTTTTTATTTTTCCCCCTCAAAGGTGCCTGAATGCAGCCTTGAATTTTGCATCTTTAAAATGATTGTAGATGAAAGTAATAATAATATTTGAGACTTCAAAATAACCAATTTTCCAGTGTAGGCAGGTAACTAGGAGGCCAAATGCAATCGTTTGTGACTGGCAGTGGATTGCAAGGGCAAAGATCTGAAGGCTGCTCTTAAATCCGTCCCCAAAATGTCTGGTGCTCTATATACACACACACTGTAACAAATTAATGTCAGATGCTGCACTTGGTATAATTAGACAGGATTTAGAGTGGCAGAGCCAGCAAATTGCTACGATTTATGTGAAGCCCCTACCCCAGGGTCTGCACCCACCGCTGCTTTGTCGTCACTGAAAATTCCTTCATCAGTTGAAGGATGCAGCCTCTGGATTGCTTTGCACAGTTTGGTCCTCAGTTTAGGCCCTGGATGGATCCCTGATGTCAGCTCCTTGGGATGCCCTTTGGGGTGCAGGGCATCACTAGGAGCCCACAGAACTGATGAACCACATAAACCACAAAGGACACCTACCAGAGGGACACCAGAGCCAGAGTGCTCGGAAGCACCAATCTGCTTAGTAAATCCTTTCCTGCCTTTTCCCAACGCGGAGTATGAATTAAAAAAAGGTTAGAAAAAAGAAAAAAGCGCTTTCATTCCCTAGTTCTTATTAAGAGATAAAGTCAATCTGGTTTAACTAACTAAGCCAAGCTCTGGCAGTGGCGGCGCGTGAGCGGCGCGGGTCTGCTCCAAAGTGGAACCAGCTCCCAGCCCCACACTTCAGGAAACATCTCATCCAGTGAACCTCGTATTTTTCCCACAAACTCCCCTCGAGCTGTAAAGCACATCTGGATAATTTTAGGCAGAAAGGGATTTTCCCAGAAAGTTGCAGGGGGAGGGTGGGGGTAGCGAGGGGCTGGTTATATTTGGAAACCTCTTTCAAGCACGGAGACCCCGTTGTGGCGGCAGCGTCGTGGGGTGACGCTGAGCGGTGCGGTGGTGAGGGCGGCTGTTGCACTGCCATGGAGAAATATCTGGGATCAATTTGTGGCCACAGGTGGGTTTTTCTCCTTGCAGCTGAGTTTTGGATTGTTCTTCTGCCTGAACTCCCTTGGCTGCCCTGGGATGAAGCAGGGACCTGCTGAAATCCTCCGGAGATTTGGTCCAGTGGCTCCAGGGCAGCTCCGGACATGGCACTGCTCAAAAGCAACAGAAAGGCAACAAAAAAAGGGCATTTTGAATAGACAAAGTGCCCCAACTGCCTCGGGGCCCAGTCAAGCATTGCTCCTTGCTCAGAGGGGCCGGTGATGAGGGTATGAGGAGGCAGCTCATCAAGCCCTTATTAGCACAGGAACTGCCGAGCGCAAATTAACGCGCCAGACTCTGTCCCAGCCGTACGGGGAGCGCCGCGTGCGCAGCCACGCTGAGCAGTTTAATCAACTCAGAAAGCAATTTGTTCTCTCTCTCTTTATAACCTTGACAAGCTAGCGGGTTATTTTTAAGTACACCAGCAAAGGCAAAGGCAATTCCCGGCTGGTTGGCAGCTGGCTGTCAAACCACCAGGCCGGGCAGGTGAGCAGCTCCTGCTTTAGAGCAGGGAAAACCTTTCCCCAGGCTGCAGCACCTTCACCCACACATGCCCAGGCCAGGGGCACTCTGCTGTGGGCACAGCCCATCACTTCGGGACAACACAATGACAGATGCTGTTGACTTCGGGACACATGTATGCCCTGTCTGCTGGGTGCTGTGCTGTGGAGAAGGATGGAGAAGCAAAGATATGCAGGGCTGAGGAACTAAGAACAACTCAGGATTGATGATTCCCCAGAGGATGGATGGGCAACTGAGAGGAGCTGTGTTGTAGTGGCATTACTTGCCCTGCCCTGTAATTTCTTCCCCTGGAAGGGGAAGGAGGATGGAGGAGATGGTGTGTTGGGATGGCATACTCACTGCTATAAGCACCCTGACACCCACCCTGCTCCTTCACCTCTTACATCTGACCTCCCAGTGAAGGAAGGCAGATGTTTTGCAGACACGGTACCCACTGTGCAGCACACCCCAGATCACCCAGGCACTGGTGTCAGGGCACCAGCCCAAAATTCAACCAGGACAGCTCCCACCCTCCCTGCTGCAGCATCCCTGCTGCACACTGCAGTTCTGGGTTTGTCCTGTGCAGCCTCCTTCCTTCCAGAGGCCAACTGGACCACTGTGGTGGGAGATGTGGGACCTGGAAACCCGAGAGTAGGCGCAGCTGCCTCTGACTGCTCTGTGTCCTCAGGGCACTGGGCTGTGTTTGCTTTGGCCTGTGCTGCCCCAGCAGCTGCTCAGATGTGCTGGTGATAACACGATTAGCAGTAAATTGGTTAATGCTTTCCCAGCCAGCAGGATGAACGGGGTGCAGAGGCTACCTCCCTGCCACGACCACCACAGTCCTCTCAGACCCAGAGGTGCTGGGTGCTCTTGGGGACAGTGCTGTCATGTTGGTCCCCCTCACCTGGGAACAGGGGAGGGCCTGGGGAGCGAGATTCCTGCCCCAGCAATGACACGGTTCAGCGCCTGCACTTCCAGCTGATTTAAAGCAATGTCCAAGTTTATAGAGAATTAGTGAGACTAAGGAACATTATTTTTCTTTATTAGGTTAAAGGGTAAGCAAATACAATCAATCTTGTCATGTATCACAAGATGTCAGCAACTTCCCACCTCAGCCAGAAAATTACCGGCTCCTCGGTGGATTGTGGAATTACATTCATAACCACAGAAAACAAATATATACATGTATATTTTAATGAAAACACTGAAGGTTGCTACCTCACATCATCATCACAAATAGGTTACTGCTGAGCTAATTTAATCAACAGCAAAATCCAGGCTGCAGAGGAACCCCCACTTGGAGGAAGATTCTGCCCACGAAGGGAAATGAAGGTGTTGGTGAAGGGATCTGTGTGGGATGCAGCTGGCAAACATGACCCCAAGCCCCAGGCTGGGCTGGTGTCCACAGGGACTCGCTGCCCCAGCCCCAACCCAGATGAGTGTAACCATAATGCTTTGTTCTGCCCCATGCTTTAATGAGGCTCTACCCCATGTTTTAGCCATGGGGACATTTTAGAATGGCTGTGTTTTGGCTCAGTTTGGCTTCTTCATTTAACAGCTTCCTAATTCAATTGCATTCATCCCCATCCTTCCCTTGCCATTCCTGGTTCAGATAACCTTGCTGAGCTCCTCTTGGAGATTAACCAGAGGGAGGGAGCCCATTAGCTGGTCCGAGCTTCAGAGCTGCTAATCAAAGCTAATGAATTAACCAAGAGGGTGTTGATTTCCAATCTGAGCATTCAGGAGGAGGGACAAGATCTGTCCTTCCCTCTGTCCCATCTCCTGCATGCCACTGCAGTCCCCTGCTCTGACAGTGCAGGATGCTGCCCTCTCCCCTTTCTCCATCCACAGTCCCACCTGGCTCGAGGCCAGCCAGGGGCGAGGTAAGAGGAAAGCCCTTTTGAGCTGGGAAGACACAAATAATCGTTGTAATGATGACTGGTAAGACTCTGAGCTGCCTGCCAAGATCACGAGCTGCTCAGACAGCCCGAAGAGCAGCGAGGCTGGAAGTCATCTGGCAAGCACGGGGCTGTCCACGGCAGTGGCGGGGCAGAGGGCAGGGGATGTGGAGAGGTGAGCAGGAGCAGGGGGCTGGAGCCTTTCCTGCCTGGCAGGATGAGGGATGTGGCCCAGCAGGGCCAGTCCCACAGTCACGGGCACGGTGCCATGAAGGAAGCTGTGTGTGCTGGCCAGCACGGCCAAGGGCTGCTCCTGCCCCGTGTGTGACCCTGCATTTGCCCTGCTGTCCCCATGCAAGGGCAGCTGGGTGACAGTTCATCCAGTGCCAGTGACTGTGCTGCTAAACACAAAGTGGTGCCCTCCTCACTCTGCAAAGGGCAGCACTGATTCATTCTCTTTTGCAGCTCTAGGTCCCAAACTCCAATGTGTCCCCATGCCATTCCAAAGCAAAAATATTTGGTGGCCTCAGCAAGGTCCCCCAGCCTGGAAGCAGTAGGAGGAGAGGGGTGCCCGAGGCAAGGGCAGTTGTTCTCTTTGTGGAAGGGGATGTGGTGGTGTCTTCTCAGTCCAGAACAGTGCACTCTCCAAGATCTGATGTGCAGGGGAGGTGATGATGGCAATGCTGTTCCCTGTCACTGTGGCATGGTGCCTTGCCCCTGAGGTGTTCGTGGGCAGGCAGTCTTAAATGTGTATCATTCTTGGAGATGATCTGCATACAAAGCTGGTAAGGCCCTCATACCCAGACAAGTCGCTGTCTGTCCCTCTCCTACCCAGCTGCCCACAGAGCCATGCTGTGAGGTCTCTGTCACCTCTGTCACCTCTGTCACCCAGCAGGACAGCCCAGGACTCCCCACCATTTATTCTCCAAACCTGCCAAGGGAGCCCAGCCATCCACCCTGAGGATAACACAGGCAGCCTGAGTCTTGTCTGGCAGAGTCACCATTGTACTCCAGATCCTGCTGAGTGCCCAGCCCGTGGTGACAGGGACCATAAAACACTTGTGTGGCAGTGCTGAGGGCTGGCTGGCTGCCTCCTTTGGACTGTCCCCAGTTCAGAAGCACCCAGGCTTGCCCAGGTTGCTCAAGGCTCCTCTGGGAGCTCTGATTCAGCTCCTGTGCACTGCAGGGAAGCTGTGGCAGCTCAGAGCTGCAGAATTACTGAGGTGACACCACTTGTTGCTTGCCCCGCTGATGTTGGCTGACAGCTGCTGTGCACACACTGATACTCCACAGAACTGGCAGCAGGATGCTGTCTGTTCCTGCCTGGAGTTTGCCTGTACCACATGCTGCCCACTGGACAACGATGGCTTCAGTGTGCAGAGCCCAGGTGCAGGTGTGCCCCAGTGGCGTGGGGCACAGCCACCATAATGAACAGCATGCCCAGGGAAGCTGAAATGTGTGCAGGCACAAATACACAAAGTTCAGCCCGCTGCACATGGTGGCACATGCAGACCCCCAGCCTCGAGCTGGACTCCTCCACCTGAGCCAGGGCTTTCAGATGAACCCAAACACCTTTGAAAAGGGTTTTCCAGCAGGACACGGGCAGGAGGGCCATGGTGAGCGGCTGTCCTGGCGCTGCAGGCGCCCTGCATCCGCAGCCACGGCCTGTGTGCAGCCCCAGCCCGCACTCATTTATCTCCCCTCCAAATTGTGAATGAACGAACTTTCTCCCAGAATAAATAACCATCGCTCAAAAGTTATTTTAGGGCTGGTCTCGGTCGCTGGAGTTTCCGCGCCTGCCGAGGCCCATCACATTGTTTTCTGCTGCTTTCCTTGGCACGGCCCCAGTCCAGGGTTCAGAAGTTATTACTATAAAAGTCAAATTGCTTTGAGGGGGGGAGGCTGGGGGAGGCAGGGTCGGTGGAGGGAGAGGGGATGGGATTCCTGGAAAGTCTCCAGCCAGGGATAATTGGAGCTGTGCGGGGTTGGACCAGTCCCCGCTGTGCTCGGGGGAGCGTTTCACCTGGCCGCTGGCCAGCAGAGCCAAGGCAAGGAGCAGGAGGAGGAGGAGGAGGAGGGCTGGATTATTGCAGGCACAGCGCCCCTGAAATACAGTGCTGCTGGGGGGGATTCCTGGAGGCCCCCAGGCTCATTCCTTGCCATCTCCTGAGGAGTCCTTGCCCATCCTTCTCCTTTCGGCCCTGTGAACCTGCGCTCGCCCCACTTCCATTTATGCTGGTTATTTCCCCATCTACAACACTAATTACTTTCCTGCCTTTGCACTGAGGATTGCCTTAAGCCCTGAAATATTAATGTTTAATTTCCCTTCTAAAACTTCCTCTTTCAGTGTTTGCCACTACAACTTGGTAAATTTTGGCCATCCATAAAAGAAAATGCTCTGCCCCTTCACACCAGGCGCTGCACCCAGTCGCAGTAAAGCTGGTCACGAGATACCAGTTCCCATCCTGAATGAAGCAGCGTCACCCTCAGTCCTTTGGGCTCTTTTCCCACACCCTCTGTAGTCAAGGGTTGCCCTGGACCTTCCCAACAGGGCAGGAGCAGCTCATGGATGTGGGATCTCAGCAGGGATGTCCTCTCCCAGGGTGCCCTTGTGGGATTGTGCCCTGGCTGCTGTGTCTCAAATCCTTTGATCTAAACTCGATGCTTTTTTTCCCTTTTAAAAATGATTTCTGTGAATGGTCATGCTGATGTGTCCGTGCAACCTCATTAGGATTCAGTTTGCTCTCTCCTTTCCTGCAGGCAGCCTTATTTTTATTATTCCCATTATTTAAGGTTGACCTTACAGCAATGACCAGCATCCTCCTGGCAGACAGGGCTGTCTGTGCTGGCCCTTCCAACCTGCACCCCAGAGACCTGCCCCGAGGTGCCCCTCACCCTGAATCTGGCACCCCAAGTCCACCACAGCCCACAGTGCTGGGGAAGCAGTGCAAACACCCTGCAGCCAGGATTCACGGGCTGGGAGCAGGCAGGAACAGCCAGGAGATAAGAGGTGGCTCAGCTTTGATACGCGCAGCTCGTACGCCTGCAGCAAAATCATCAGACAGGGGCATCCACTGAGCGAGGTGACTGCCGGGCTTCCAGGGACAGGGAGCAGGCACAGGAGGTGACCTGGCAGCAGGAGGTGACAGCAGGAGACGTGACCTGTGGAGGCACTTCAGAGAGGATGTCTTCATGGAATCACTGATGGGAACAGCCCAGAGTTGTCATCATCCCACTGGCACTCCAGCCCAGCTCAGCTACAATGGCATGGGCATTGTGGCACATCCCCAACCCCGTCCCTGCCCCATCTCCTGCCAGGATGATGAAATATTGCACTACCTGTGATGCTCAGAGTGAGCAAATATAAAAGCATTAACAGAGTAGTAAGAAGAAAAATGTGAGGAAAGGAGAGGAGAGTAAGCAGGGTGAATCTGAGCTCCACGGCAGCTGGGAGACAGGCAAGGCACTCTGCCCTATGCACCTGGGACCTCACTGCCTGAGGACATGTGGAAAACCCCTGTCCCAGGGCTGCAGAGTTGCCATTCCACACCTACCATGACCCTGCACAACCCCCCAGGCCCAGCTGGTGGGGCAAGTCTCTGCTTCTTACAGGTAAAAGCCAGCAGAAATTGTCCCTGGAGCCACATCCAGGTGGGCTGGTGGGTGAGGTGGGCTCCTGGCTCCTGTGTACACTTTTTTCACCTAACCTTTCATTTTAGAGAATCATAGAATGGTTTGAATGGGACCTTTAAATGCCATCTAGTCCAACCCCCTTGCCATGGGCAGGGGGATCTTCAGCCAATTCAGGTATTCAGAGCCCCATGCAGCCAGGCCTTCCAGGGATGGGACATTCACCACCTCTCTGGGCAGCCTCTACCAGTGTTTTACCATCCCCAGTGGAAAAAAAACTCTTTTTATTGAATCTAAATTGCCCCTCTTTCAGTCCAAACACACTGCCCCCTTTTCCTGTCTCTTTTCACCCCTAGCTGTGAACCCCTGCCACCCCACCGCCCCTCTCCTGCAATCGCTGTCCACCAGGCATGGCTGGTTCCTTCTCTATCCCCTCCCTAATGGATCTGACAGCTGCTCCCTGCACTGGGCCAGGTTTCAGTTTCCCCACGCTGAGGTTTTCTTGCACAGTCTGTTGCAAAGCAAGAGCCAGGCTCGTCTTGGCCGGGCGATGCTCCCGGCCACGGCCTTGCTGCCAGGTGGGTCACCCTGCTGGCCCCTCGTGGCCCTCACCAGCATGCTGGGGACAGGAAGGAAGGAGCAGAGTTGTAGGAATCCGATTATGAACTGAGCAATAGCACGTGCGGAAGAGCCTGTGGGGAAGGGGCTTCCAGGGCTATTTTCGCCCAACGAAAGTTGCAATTAATTTGCGGAGGAAGTCGCTCGGCATTAAGGAACCCTCCAGGCAGAGTCCGGACCCAGGGACACACATCCCATTATTTTCTCGTTTAAAAACCCTCTCGGTGGTGGTGGGGGCTGCTCCCCCCGGGCTGGCGCTAACGGGGAGCGGGGGGGAGCTGGGGAAGGGGGGAGCTGGCTCTGGAGGGGCAGGCGTGTTTGGAGAGGGAGAGGGAGCTGAAATTAACCTTGGAAAGCATTCAAATTAGACTGTGTAATAAGAGACCCACTTCTCTGGGTAAATTTGTTAGGATTAGGGCTCACTGAGCTGTTGAGGAGAATTCAGCATGGCTCAGAGCCAGGACGAAATGAAGCTCCTGGCTTGGTCGGCTGCGGGAAAGTCCAGGCTAATGGGCTTTGGTTCAAACTTTGATAGGAAAAAAATCCAGGAACAAAGGCACTAATTCTTCCAAAAGCCCCAAAATCTCAGTTTATACATTTCTGTTTATGTTCATTCATAATAGATATACACAGCTGTTCTTATCATTCATATTCAAATTCCATATGCATCCTTAGCAGTTAGTACTCCTGCCTCAAATAAAAAAAAAAAAAGCCATGTGGAAGATTAAAGAAAACTGAAAAACAACCTGTCTTGGGGTGTGAATTCTCCCAGCATCTGTGTCTGACATCAGGTCCTTGCACTGGGGTCCAGCCTTGGGACAGAGGAGGAGCCCACTACCAGCATGGGCATTTTTAAAAGGGACTTTTCTAAGTCTCTCTGTCACCTGCCACAGACCACCCATCTGCTGAGCTTTCTCTGCTCTGGGCAGGGAGGTGGCTGGCTGGGGTTCACCCTGTGCCACCAGTCCTGGCACCCACCAGCATGCCCATGGCCTCCCCAGTGATATTCTGTAAGGATGAGCCCGACCTGCTCCCCATGGGGGGCATCTGTGCTTACACTGCCCTGGGTGAACAGAAGGGAACTTTTCCAAATTCCGTGGTTATAAGCTAAAAAAGCCCCAAACCAGCCAAAACTGAAACAATGATTTTATGTTATTTGGTTTTCTAAAAAATATTCTCTGTCTCACATTCCAGAGGATCTCTCCTTGCTTCCTTTAAAAATTATCCCTGGAGTAAAGACCAAAAGAAAAAATAATACATTTAAATCTGGGTATCTCACAGAATATTTGCATCTTAAACCTTATTTTTTGATCCCTGGAATTTGCTCTTATGGACAAATCTAGTGCTGTTGAGTAAAGCTCATTAGTAAGAACGATCTGCTAGAACGAGCAGCAGGGACACAGATAGCACAGATACTTGAAGTGTTGTCACTGGGTTTCAGAGTTAATCCTGCTGAGAAGTTCCCCTCTCAACTCAGAGCTGTTGTTCTGCACATCCATGACACTGCTATTGATTCTTAGGATTATTAGGGAAGGCTGGGACTCCATCCTTGTGCAGTGGATGTGTAACCTGTAGTACCTCGGCACAGACAGCAGGAACAGCAGCAGTGGCAACAGGCGGCTGCAACAGTCCCTGACCCTCCTCTTCCTCACCTCTGGTGGTGCCCAGGTGAGATGCAGGTTCTGGCACGGCAGGGATGTGGCCTGAGCCATCCTGGGCAGCTCTAAACCATGCTCCAGAGCCAGGAGGGGGTGACAGGCCCTGTGGAGCAGCGTGCTGCTGCTGTATTTACATTCCAGCCTAAATTGACTTCTCCTCTGGTCCTGTCCCTGTCCCCCCACTGCTGCAGCCCCTCCATCTGCTTGAAATATCCTTTAATCGGGAGCTGCTCATGTCTTACAGCAGCAGGGGACTGTCAGCCTGGGGACAGAGGACAATCTGAGCACACTCGGACAGGGGCCTGTCCCCTGTGCTGTGCCCAGAATGGTTTGTGGTGCCCGGGAGTGCACAGGATTGTACCAGTGCCTTCCCCTGTGCCATCCTCACACCCAGGGCACAGCTTTAACATCTGCCCAGGATGTGTCCCCACTCAGGCAGTGCTTGGGTGCCTGTGAGACGCGAGGGGAGGCAGCATCCCGAGAAGGAGAGATCCCCTGTGGGCTGCAGAAGGCAGGCCAGAGGAGCAGAAAGCAGGCTCACCCAGCCATCTTTCATTTCATGAACAAACACATGAGGACCTGGAAGCAATAAATCCAGAGCTTGGACTACAAAACCAAACATGGCTGCAGCTCCCTCTTGGAATAGGAAAGTGGGAGGAAGAGGGCAGCCACAAAGCCAGCTGAGGAGCACAGGCACCGTGCCCCCTCCTGAAACCACCAGGATGCTTTAAAGGAGCTGCTTCAGGGTGCTCTGGCCAAAAACGTGTTCCCAAAAAGCTGTGCGGGCTGGTTCCTTTGCGCTGTCAGTCACTGTGCCCCAGGGATGCAGAGAGCATTCTTGGAAGCACCTGGATTGGCAGGTCCCAGGGTAAGCAGCTGTCCCTCACCCAGCTGGGAGGAGCAGGAGCAGAGCCCGGGGGTGCAGGGGTGCACTGGGAGCACAGGTACCCTCGGGTGCACAGCATCACCCACACCCCACACTCCTGCAGCAGCCAGGGCCCCTTGGGGGTGTGGGTCACGGGTGCTGTGCCAGTGGGTGCTGTCCTGGCTGCTGCCCCGATGTGGGGCTGCCCTGGGGGTGCTGCTGTGGGAGGGGGCTGCCCTGAGCTGCTCTGTGGGCAGGGAACCCAGGCAGGCGTTTCCCAGGCTGGGTGCTCCCTGCCCATGGCTGTAACGTGGCACCCGGTGGCTGGGATGACTCCCACCTCACAGTGCTCCCTGGAAATACAGATGGGAGCTGTTGTTCACCCAGTGCAGCTATCTCGCTCCTGCTGCCAAGCTCCCCACTGTCCCCCTCCCATCCTGCACCCAGAGCTGAGCATTTGTGTTGCTGGCCCTGCCAAGATCCTCGGGCTCACCTGCCCGTGCAGAGGGAAGGACAGGTGTGTGCCCAGGCTGTCAGCACTGCCCCCAAACCAACAGAACTCACTTTAGGAATCCCTGATTCCCATGTAGCTGGGGACATCCCTGGAGACTCGGGAAGTCCTGCTCCATCGGGCTGGAGACCCAGGGAGGAAGAGGAGAAGAGGATGGAGAAGTGACAGCACAACCAATGGGCAACACAGCCATTAGTGGGATCCCTGGCTCCCCCATGGTCAGCCTGCAGTAATCCCAGCTTTTCCCACATCCCTGCCAGGTACAGGGGCAGACTGGGTGCCCACCAGCTCCCTCCCCAGGGCTGCACTCACCTGACTCGATGATCTTACAGGTGATCTTTTCCAACCTGGGTGATTCTATTACTTCCCCTGGCAGCCGGGGAAGCTGCAGCAGCATCGGAGCTGCCTTCTCCTTCCAGCATTCGGGCAAGCTGCTATTTGTAAAACAAAGGTGAAAACATCAAATCAGATGGATGAGTCAGAGGAGAAGTTCAAAAAGCGGGGAGCGCGGGGAAGGGGAGAAGCAGGATCTCCATCTCCCCTCCCACCTGCCAGCAGGCAGCAGGCAGGCAGGGAGCAGGCTGCCTCGCCTGCTGGCAGCACATCACGGCTTCAAAGGGGCTCACATCGGATCGGCAGCAGCCGGGGATGCACCGAGCAAGCGCTTAGCGGGGAAAGGAGATGGCTCCGATAAGCCAACGTGTGAACTCCCAGGTTTAAATTAACTAATGACTTCAGATGCTGCCGATAGTCTGCAGGGGATGGGGAGGAGTGATTTATGGGAGAAGATTAAACAGACTAATTAGGCCAGCTTTACCACTTAGGAGTTACCCAGCCAGGCTGGGGGCTGTGCCAAGGAGGACCCACTGTGCCCCAGTCTTGTGAGGAAGGATGGGGAGCAACTCCAGACCCTCCTTGGCCCCTTTCACCCCTCAAAGGCACAGGTGCTCTGGCAGCCTCCCTGGAGCATCCCTGGGTGCAGGAGATCCCACCATGCACCCACCATGCCCCAGCTCCTGCTCTCAGCTGCAGACATGGGACACTTGTGGACTCTCCTCTGCTGCCTGACCTGAACCTCCCCAGGGCTTCCCAGCCAGAACTGAGGGTCCAGGGTCTGCTTGACCCCCGCTGCTTTACGGCCACAGGACCAGGCACTAACATGGACCAGGCACCACAGCTGCCAGGCCTCTGGGGTGAAGTGCAAGGTCAACAGAACTCACACCAAGGTTCTTTCAAATCCCAGTTGCATACACGCCAAGAATCAGTGATTTCCAGTGGCTGGGCAAGCACTGAGCTCAGCCCTGCCCTGCACCAACTCACTGCTCTCACGTGTAAGGAGCTGCCGTGGTCTCAGCCAGGAGAGCTTTTTATCACGTTATGGGAAAGCACTTGGAGTTTCCTTTTCCAGGAGCCCTGGATATAATAAAAAGGCCTCCTCAGGCTTCAAAGCAGGAGGATTTTCATTGCTTCCTGGGCCAAGAACAAAGCACCATTGAGCACAGCCAACAGTTGTTGTCTCTGTCCCTTGATGTGCATCAAGCATCCCGTTCTCAGGCTTGGAGGGCTTGGTTCACAGGGATGGAGACAGGTTCATCCACAGCCATTGCTCTGGACCAGGAGCACTCTGAGACAGGTTTGCCCCCTTAAATCATCCTAGTTTCACCATGAGCTGCCAGGGTGGCCATGGGCAAGGCATGAGGAGTGCTGGTGGCCTGACCCCAGGGCTGGCAACACTTCCCCATCCACTCACTCGGTACCTGCGAGACAACAGCACTGCTGGAGTGCAGAACGTGGTTTTCAGCAGGGATTGAATGCATGACTGTGTAAATAACACAGAGGTACCATGAAAACAGCTGTTTCCACGTTAAAATGGAAATTTAACAGAGTGACAAGCAGGAGCTGCAGGGGATGCAGCGTGAGCTTCCTCCAGGAACCCACACAAGTCGCAGCTTAGTGCTGGGGCATGAACTTCCCACCATGTCCAAAGCCCAGCCCTGGGGTGATGCTTGCCCAGAGCAGCTCAGGGAACTTCCTGCCCCTTGCCTCAGGGCACCCACAGAGAGGCGGAGCCCTGCTTTCAGCCTGCCACCTCCAGCACTGCAACATGCCAGGGACAGGCAGCTGGGGACATTTCCCAGATGCCTTTGGAGAAACAGGAGCTCCTTGTCACTGCTATCAGCATGAAGCTCTTGGGCCCTTCCCCTGCCCACGCTGGGTCTGGGACGGGTTTCCTGGAGCTCTTTGTCATCAGAGCATGGGGACTGGCTGGGGAGGGCTCTGCCTGGCTTGGTGCCACCAGTCTCATTGCTGGAAATGAGGTTTTGGGAGAAGAAATTTCTGGTGTCCCCATGGCTCCTGCGTGCAATGCAAAGAGCCAGGCCAAGCAAGGCTGTGGTGGTTTCATGAGCCCCTGCCTGCTCCCCACTGCCAGCCCATGCTCTGTTTCAACCTCCTCACCCCAATTCCCTGAAAAACAATAAACCTCCATGTTTGTGCAGAGACAGGACAGTTCACATGGGGGGGGGGGGAAAGAAAGGAATAAAAAGTCAGGGGAAAAAGCCTGGGCCCATGATGTCCCACAAACACCACAGTGTTGTGGCTGACTGTGAGCTGCTTCAGCTGTGCACAGCATCACTGGCAAGAAATTCCTCACTGCGCAATATTTTTGTTTCCCCAAACCATCAATGAATTATTTAGGCATCTCTAGCAGTTACATGGGGAATGATCAACCGCTGCTCAGTGTGGGCTGTCTCAGTGCCTGCCAGGGAGCAGGTTTTGGGAAAGCAGCCCCATTGTCATGATGCTCCACGTGCCTGGGCAGAGCCATGGCACTGCAGAGCTCTCTGCGGAGCTGCCAGAAGGGCAAAGAACATCATCCCTCCCTGCAAAGGCTACAGCCAGGAGCAGGAGCTTTGTTCCAGAGCCGGAGGAGTGCAGTTCACCTGCTCCGCCTCCCCAGCCTGTTCCTCCCTGCGACGTGCTCCAGGCACCTGCCCAGTGCCAAAACCGTGGAGAAACCCGGCCCTGATTTGTAATGTGTGAAGGTAATCCAGTGCTGGAGCAAACTGCTGCACTGAGTCACAGCAAACCTTGGCTACCTGCTAATGAACCTGGGCCTGGGATGTCTGAGAGCTGCAGAGAGAGCCCTGGCTGTGCAGACAGGGGAGCTCTAGCTGCTGCCGGCTGCAGTCATGAAACTTCACCAGGGTGATGCCTATCCCTGACAGAACAGCCCCTGCCAACACACACACACGTGCTCAAAGTGTCTCACTGACTCAGTGCAGCCTCCTGGAGCAGGGTATCTCTTCACATCCTGCACTAGCACCACCAGGCACAGGCTGGAGGCTCCTGAACCTGGGCAAGCACCGGGCGAGGAGACATTCCCAGCTACTCCAAGAAATACCAATACCCAGGGCAAGCACCAGGCAAGGAGATATACCCAGCTACTCCAATGCACCCAATGTGGAGCAGTGAGGGGATAAAAGCACTCTCTAAGAAAACTTCAGAAGGACTAAAGTCCTTTCATAAAATTGCTTTTCCTTGTTGGAAAGGCACATGGTGAGGATGGACTGCTGCTGCTCTGAGGGTGAGCACTGCCTTGCCTGTGCCTCACTGCTGAAAGATGTGGGAGCTAATGGGAGAACCAGGGAGCCTGTAGGGCTCTCTGCCCTGTAGCTAAGGAGGAAGATTGTGTTTTAAAGCCAAAATCCCCAGTAAGGGATGGGAAGCCCTGCTCCTGGCTGTCTCTTTTCTGTCAGTATAGTCAACAGGCTACTGATGCCAGGGGGGACACTGGTCCTTCGGAATCACAAAGAAGCATTTGGGGCTTTTAGCTCAGCTATAAAGCCTCTTCATCCCTTCCCTCTCTCACTCTCACACCCAGTTTACAGCATCTGCCACAAATCCATCTTTAGGCTCATCCTGGACAGGCTGGAGGCTGCATGGGTGTCTGGGTGGGGGTCAGCCTCACAAGCCACCATGGATGTTGCCTCACAGCAGAGCCTGCATCCCTTCTGGCAGCCCCCAGACATGCATCTCTCCCAACACTTTGCCTTCTCCCCTTTCTCCAGCCAAGCCCCCTGCATGGCCTCAATCACTGGCAAAGGTTCCCACAGACCATGGCTCCTTGTGCCCTTCTCAGACCTGGGGACATCACTTTCTTCCAGTTCCTGAATGATGTCCGAATTCTCTTGCTCATGGTTTCACAGCTGCCTGATGTCTCAGCCATCCCCAGCCTGCCTAGCTCATGGCATCCCCAGCATTCCATGAGCTTGGCATGCTTCTGGCCCAAGGTCCCCAGTCAGTCTTTTATCTTCTGAATTACTTCCCCTGTGCTGAAGGATGGGGCAGAAAGAGCTGAGGTGTACAGGTGAAGATGGATCTGGAATCCATGCAAGCCTGACTCTGTCAATGCCTGTGTGCTCAGCCACTGCAATTTCCAGAGGAGAGTCCCCTCCCCAGGGAAACCACTCAGCCCACTTTGGCTGCTCCTGGGTTTGGCAGAGCACCTCACCTGGGCTCCATGCTTTGGGCAGTTAGACCTTTTCCATGCCCCACAGCTCCCTGGCACTGGTTCCTCTGATGTCTCGGCACTGAGAGCTGAGAGCTGGAGGGAGGGACCCCTGTAAATGAGAGGGAGTTTGCAGACATCACTGCAGGCCCAGCTTCCCCTCCCTCATCCCCAGCCCCAGTGCACGGGCCTCGCCTGCAGCGGGGCCCCAGAGCAGAGGAACACACGCTTTTTGTCAGGGCTGCTCTCCTCATGTTTATTTCCCTTTGCCGTGGGAGCAATTTCCCCTTCCCACACAGGCAGCTCTGGCCGTGGCCGTGGGGATGGGGCCGGCGCTGTCCCTGGCAGGGCCGGGCGGGACGCGGGCCGTATCTCATCCGCTGGCATGCAGCACGCAGCGCCTGCAGGAAACATATGTCACTGCTTAAACAGATCGTGAAAGCTTCAATCACTTCCTTATGGCGGAGCCGGGCTGCATTCATACCAGCAGCCAGCATCTCCTGCCTTTCCTGTGAGTGGGAGCAGCCCCCGGGCCTGTGGGGTGCTCCCCTGCCTCGGCGCTCCCCTGTCCCCACGGGCGGCTCCACAGGGAGCTGTGAAACTCCATCCGGGAAAACAAACCGTTTCTTGTCAGCACCTTGTTACCTCCCTAAGATGCTCCCCTCTGCCTGCAAACCGGCCCTGCAGGAAACTCAGGGGTGGAGCCCTCCCCAGATTCACTGGACGGCCCCAGGCTCCCTCCAGCGTATTTGCAGGGTGCACAGTTGCTGTGTTTGGGGCACCCTGTGCTTGCTGGCAGCACATGGCCACAGCCCAGAAGAGTCTCACTGGTCCCCAACCCCTCACTGACCCTTGGGGCAGCCTTGGAGGAGCTCAGTGCATCTCATGGGCATCAGATGTACGTGGAGTATGGGATCCCTCAACTCTGCCTGTCCCCAAGGAGCTTCATACAAAGCTGGTCTCTTGGAGCAATGTCCTTTGGGGGGATGTCAATCACACACTCTCTCCTGCTCCACTGATGGGATTCTGAAAGCCCCCAGTGTCAACAAAGCAGATACCACAGCTGGCCCCCAGGCCCATCCCCTGCAGCAGGGCCCAGGGCTGCCCAGAGGGTCCCTCCCCTCAGACGTGGGTGGGTGTTGGTGAGACGATGCATCATCATCATCATCATCATCATCATCATCATCATCATCATCATCATCATCATCACAGCGTCT